AAATCTTTCAAGTCATTTCGACGGACCTTGGAAACCCGATTTTCTGCAATGGATCAGACGTGTCCAACCTCTATGCAACGCACCCAGTACAATTTGGACCTGTTTCAACCAATTGAAGCCGAAAATCTGTCTTTAATTGGCTCAAATTGGAAAACACCTCAAAAAGGCCTTTTTTAGGGCCATTTTCGGCCTACGAGTTTCCCTGATAGCCTCTATTTATCTATTAGCTGGAAACGTTTTCCATGACCTACAAAGACACGAAAATACCTCATCGGAGATCGTTTAGGGCAAAATTCTGATGTTTCCAAAAAATTCCCATGGATTCTCGAATGTTTCCATTTTTTACAATATCTTTTCAAGTCATTTCGGACCTTGGAAACCCGATTTTCTGATCAGGAATTTCCAACCTCTATGCAACTCACTCAGTACCAAAATATGTCAAAATGAGAATTCCAGAGACCGGCATTTTGGGCGGCATGCGATCAGCATTATGGGAGGCGAGTGTTAAATTATAAGTGTCCCTGCTTTCAGAATAATGAAATTATCATACATCTAAACTATTGAATAGCCAACTTAAATTATTGTGAGAGGATACGAGTGCCTAGATATGACATTATTGCAAAAATAAAGTTTGGGGTTCAAACGTATGTGTATGTTACTTTTTTTCTTCTGATTTCTGCATCAAGTACTTATTGCTTCTGATTATCACTTCAGATTACTCGATGTATACATTCTAGGAGGCGCTGTTTTATGAAAGGCATATACCCGTAGTTCTTCTAGGTTCATCATTGTCCAGCTACATTTCCTTTTCACACTATTGATCTGTCTGTCCATATTTAAAGTTTCATCAAATTTAACACCCAGACTCTTCCAGCTGTCTCCTTTGCTCTCCGTAGGTACAATTTCGGTGCTTCCAAATTGCAGGCTGACACTGAGTTCACACTTTTTTAGAAAATGACTCTTTCCTAACACCATTAGTTCTGTCTTTGTTTCGTTCAGCTTCATAAATTTTTCACCATCCATGCTTTTATCTCTGCCAGACATTAGTTTGTTCAGTTTCGGATGTATCAATGAACTGTACCCAGTGGCGTAACGTTGCCTGTTGGCGCCCCCCTGCCGAAAAAAAGCGCCCCCCTGTTGGCGCCCCCTCCCCTTTTGGTGCCCCTCCCTAAAATTGAACAAATTAGGTGATTTTAAAGAATACGCCGGTAAAATCTCTAAAAAAGTGTGTATCTAGAGCAAAACGCGCAGTTTTGCTAGTACTTTAGTTAAGTTTTCGAAATTGTCCCACATTCGAACGACGATTTGCCGCCCCCCTAAGACAGCGCCCCCCTGCACAGCGGGGTCAGCAGGGCCTTTTGTTACGCCACTGACTGTACCACAGGTCTGGTTGTTACGAGATGTACAGTGCAATTGGGAATCATCTGCATAGAGCTGTATATCAAGACCATATTTGGACGCAATTTTCTGGAGAGCTTTGATATAGAGGATGAAAAGAATAGGCCCCAAGAGTGATCCCTCCATACAATAGCTCCAAGAAAGATGAAAGAGTATCATCAATCTTAATGCAGAAGTGTTCATAAGCTTTTCCAGTAAGACTGTGTGGTCAATGGTATCAAACGCTGCACTTAAGTCAAGAAGTACAACTATAACAACATTTCCAGCTTCAATTTCTTTGTTTAGATCATCACACATTCTTACAAGAAGTGTTTTACAGCTGTGATTAGGGCGGTATCCAGATTGGACTTCGGAGTTAAGGCTATGATTTGTGAGATGAACATTGAGCTGGTTCAGTACAATTATCTCGAGGATCTTGGAGAAGGCAGAGAGGTTAGAGACTGGCCAATAGTTATTGAGAATATCGACATCAGCTCATTTTCCTTCTTAAAGTCGGCTTTATAACCGCGTTCTTCATATCAGAGGGAAAGATTCCAGTCTTCAAGGATGAGATTATGACGTGGATTAAAAAGGTTGTCAGTTCAGTAACACAGTCTTTTAGAAGAAATGCTGGGATCGGATCCAAACAGCAGAACTTGTTGGACATCTTTGAGACCAGATCTTTGAGTTCCTCAGCTATTATCTCAGAGAAATTATCAAAAATGCAGTCTTTATCAAGAACAGGATCTGCTTTTCTCCGGATATTCTGCTTCCAGTACCCTTTGTCTTTGTCTCTGTCTTTCTTTGGAAATACAATTTTGAATACCTCAATTGTGTCTTGTGCCATCCTCAGTGACCTTGTAAGATGGTCAGTCAAGAAATGTTCAGTCAAAACAGTTAAATTTGGGTCACGGAAAGCTAAAATTAGAATATGTCCTACCGGTAGGTCAAAATTTCAGTAAAAACTGCGAAATTTCGTTCAAGGGGACGGCAGAAAAGCTCCTCTTCAAAAATCTTCCAAAATCTCTTTATATTTTGATGATTTTCCGTTTATCAAAGCTTTCTTTGGGAATAGAACTTTGAGTACCTCAATCGTGTCTTGTGCCATCCTCAGTGACCATGCTAGATGTAAAAGTCTTTCGAAATGTCTCTTTTTATTCTTATTTTAAATGGGATAACGTCGCATGTTGTTGCCCTGCAGCCCCAGTGCTTGTAGCACAGGAGGAGCTAAGTGCAAAGAAACTGCCACAAACTGCTACAAACTGCTACTTACTGCTACAAACTGGCACTAACTGCCACAAACTGGTACTAACTGCTACAAACGTGCAAATTGCAGCAGTTAGTGCCTGTTTGTTGCAGTTAGTGCCAGTTTGTGGCAGTTAGTGCCAGTTTGTAGCAGTTAGTAGCAGTTAGTAGCAGTTTGTGGCAGTTTCTTTGCACTTTGCTCCTCCTGTGGTAAAGACCCCTTCCCTCTTAACATTGAAATGTAAAATTTACAGAAAACAGCAAACAAAATCTTTTAAAAAGTGTATATTTTCTAAAACAAAAAGTGCAATTTTGCTTCTTTTTAAAGAAATGTTTTGAAAATTGATCATCGAAAAAATAATTCAATAAAGGCAAAAGCAACTATAATTCTAAAAACTCTTAAGCTATTCTCGTGAATAAAAGACATATTTTCTCTAGCGCTCGATTTTCATACTACGCGTACGGTGCAGTGAATTTGTGAAAATTTATGCGCGTCGTATTTTAAATTTTGTTTTCATTTTAAAATCATTTTTAATATTTAATTTTTTTTTAATTGAAAATGTTGAACAATATTTTTCCAATTTCCATTGCATCAAACAAATTTTTGATACATGTTACGTATCTTCGGCAGCGTTGTAGCGCGATGCACTTCTTGGCCGCGCCGCGCATCAAACAATTCTAGATCGGCGAGATGTGCACCACTGGGCCTCACCGAGCTGCGAAGGATTGACATCGTGAACTAACGGCGGCGTATCTATCTTCGGCGGCGCGCGCTTCGCTTGGTGCTCTAACCAGAGCCCTCTCGCTTGCAGTAGCGCGCGACCGCTTGTGAATGAAACAAGCGTGTCACGCAGTATAGTACGCGTAGACACATGGCTATGTGAACTTCGCGTGCGAAAAGTGGTATAGTATGCAACGTATGTCAAATCAACCAGCAAGCTTGACGGATGTTACTCGTCTAAATTTCTTCGAAGTAGCGCGCGCCGCTTAACGCTTTCTTCTCGAAATGGCCCGACGGCACGAGCTACGAAGTAGCGCGCGCCGGGCCAGATCATTAACAATGGTCAACCAGCAAGCTAAATATTATAACTTTATTTTTACCTTTTAGCTTGACAGCCAGCGCGGCATGTGTGCGATTTATGAAAATGTTTCCAAGTTGATGGTATAAGTAAATATTTGTCATACGCTGTATGACCCGCGCCGCGCACGAGTGTGCAGCTCCCTGTATCGTAGAAACTATACACCATATAATAGTGAAACGAACGTGGGGGTCACAACGTGTTACAAATAAATAATACAAAATTTTAGCAGCTGAGTAACCTGCATGTATCGCGATGTTAAAGTATTTGTGGATTAAATGAGTGCATTACAAAATTGCTTTTAATATTTGAAGTTAAAATTTATTTGATATATATTTTGTACTGATCTCGTCCCACCTTTTCGCACATCACATATTTACCAAGCTAGAAGCTTGCATATAATTATGCTTTAATCATGATAATCATTATTTATCCCAGCTTGAACAGTATTTTGCCTTAATTTTATTTCCATGAAAAATTCATCTTACAGCTTAATGCTCGAATTTTGTAGTCGAATATACGATGTTTTTTCAATTTCTTCATATATTTCGTCAAATATTTTGTAGATATTTTACTGCAAGATTTTATAAAGGGGTCAAATAGGTAGTTTTTGTGAAACTTGATTTTCGACCAACAAACTAGGACCAGTGACCGAACTTTTGAGGAGGCCCTGGACCCCAACCGCCAAACGGTACCCGCAGGGCAGCCACGCCCATATTTGTCCAAATTTATAGCCAAATTTAGCCAAATTTAGCCAAATTTAGCCACGCTGATTTATAGATAAATTTTTTAGTTGGAGAAGGTGTGATTAACATATTGTATTTCCTATGAGATATGGTGAAAAAGAGAACATTAAAATTGGTACTCTTGTCTTAATTATCTTAAAAAATTCCATTAGGCAATGTAGTCTATACAGGTTCTCTACAGCTACGAAACGAAACGAAACGAAACACTGTATTTACTACCCCGCTACTATGCGACAAAGATATTGTATAAAGATAACTAAATAATTTACACAATACGGTGCCCATGTCTGAGCGGCTCTCCTCAAATAACTTTCTCTCCTCCTCGGAGCAGAAAGTTAAAAACAAAACACGGGTCTCATAAATCAAAAATTACTAAATAATGTTAAAGAGATAATACCAGATTAACTGTCCCAGAAAAATGGTTAAAGTATACATATTACATAATTGATTTTATTGACACACCGATAAAAACCAAAAAAACAAGAAGTGGATACTCGGAAAACAAAAAATTACACAAAAAAGACTAGAAGCCACAAAAAATAGCTTAACCAGGCTATAGCTGATCATACAAATAGTTCTTTAACTTACCCTTAAAAGAGACAATATTCTCGATGTTACGGACATTAAGAGGGAGAGAATTCCATGATTCAGGTGCATAGTTGCTGAACCGCCTGCTAGTTGCCTTCAATTTAGAGAACTTAGGTATCTTCATAAGAAGGTTGCATGCTGTTTTTGTTCTGGTTTCTTTGACAGCCTTATCATCTCTGTTCATTTGAACCAACTCTTGGAGGTACATTGGTGCCAATCCATGGGCCACTTTGAAACAGATGAGGCACACTTTGAAAAATATCCTCTTTTCAACAGGGAGGATATGAGCTTTCTTGTAGAAAGGAGACAAGTCAGTATTTCTGTCATAGATGTCGTAAATGAAACGTATCCCTGCATTTAGAACAGATTGCAGCTTCTTCACTCTAGTCTTTGAAAGATTCATGTAAAGGGCATTACAATAGTCCAGCTTTGATATGATCAGTTGTTTGACCAGCATGAGCTTAACTCTCTCATCTAGATACTTTCTGATAGTTCTTAGATTATTCATTGTCCAACAACAGTTCTTCCTAACATTGTTTATCTGCCTTTCCATGTTGAGAGATTCATCTAGTAACACTCCAAGACTCTTCCAGGTATCGTTTTTACATACAGTTGGTGTAATGATGGTGTCACCAAACTTTATTGTTATTTCAAGGTCAAACTTCTTCAGTACCAAAGGCTTTCCAATGACTAACAATTCTGTCTTGCTCTCATTCAGTTTCATGAAATTATTAACCATCCATACTTTGATTTCAGACAGACAGTCATTGATCCTACTAGTGACATTCTGCAGCTCCATGGGTCTCATCGGGTGGAAAGCTATATAAAGTTGTGAGTCATCTGCATAAAGCTGTATATCGAGACCATACTTTCTAGCTATTTCCTGGAGCAGCTTAATGTATAAGATGAACAGGATAGGTCCCAATAGAGAGCCCTGGGGTACCCCAAACAACAGACACAGGAAGTCAGATAATGAGTCATCTAACTTAACCTTGAAAAACCTGCCTGAGAGGTATGAACTAAACCATTTCAATGCAGAGTCCTTAATACCAAAATCTTTTGCCAGCTTCAATTCTTAAGAAGGATTGTATGATCAATCGTGTCGAAAGCAGCAGAGAGATCAAGTAGGACTACAATCACAATGTTGTTCATCTGCACTTCCTTAAGAATATCGTCTGCCATCCTGACCATCAGGGTTTCACAACTGTGGTTCGCTCTGTATCCAGACTGAACTGGGCAATGCAGACTGTTCAAATGTAAGTGATTGTTCAACTGCTCAAGTACAATTTTTTCAATCAGTTTAGACATAACTGCAAGATTTGAGACTGGTCTGTAATTCTTCAGAATATCTGGATCAGCATTCTTCTTCTTGATAGTGGGCTTGACCAGTGCAGTCTTCATCTCAGCTGGAAACACACCTTGCAACATAGAACCGTTTATTATGTGCAGGAGGATCGGTGCCAACTCCTGAGAGCATTTCTTCAACATGAACTTTGGAATAGGGTCAAGACTACAAAACTTGTTAGACATCTTAAAAATGGTGTGTAACAGGTGCTGCCTAGTGATGGAGTGAAATTTATCAATTGATGGCCCTGAATAGGTGCTTTCAAGATTCTCTGACGATGACAAGTTCCCTCCGATATGACTTCCTTCTTCTTCTATCCCAAGTCTGATATCATTCACTTTATCAGCAAAGAAAACTTTAAAACTTTCTGCAAGTTTTTTAGTGTCATTACCATGTGGCCTTTCTTGGGTAGTTTCACCCGTGAGTCTATAAACTTTCTTGTACAGAGCCTTCGTATCTCCCGCAGAGGCTAAGAGGGCTTTTCTATTGTAAGTAATCCTCTTCTGTCGCTCAATGACAATAAATTTGTTCCTGAGGTTGACAAAAATATCCTTCTGTCCCTTGCCTTTCCTCCAGGCTCTCTCAGCTGCTCTCCTCTGCCTCTGTAAAGCTTTCAGATCCTGATCCATCCAAGGTTTACCTTTGTCTTCACTCTTCATCTCCTTACTGATCACAGGACAATGCTTGTCCATAAGTTCCAATAGAATACTATTGTACATCTTAACTGACTCATCAAGACTCTCAGAGCACCAAGCATCTCTTTTACAGAGATCAGAAACCAAAATATCTGCTTTAAAATCCTCAACCACAATACTTTTAAAATCACGGTAGTTCATCACCCCAGTATTATTCAAAGAGGTCTTCAGGCTCACAGACACTACAAATTTAACAAGAAAATGATCTGATCTAGTCCCAGATTCCACAATGTTGATAGAAGTTATAGAGTCTAGTAATTTATGTTTTGCAAATAGAGGTTTGGTAGACTCCTTAACATAAAAATCGCAACCCAAACGTTGGGAGCCAAACGGTCTAACTCTAGCACATGTTTTGAATTTGTCTACATACCTTTTATGGTCTCCGAATAGAATTCATATACATTTCTTTTGGGTAATAAATAGTGGTTTTAACTAGATGTAAGCCAATGAATACCTCCCCAGACAGAAATAGCAAAACCGAGATGTGATTCAAAGAGAGAATGATAAATTTGTTTATATAGTGATTCTGGTAAGCATTTCTTAATACGGTAGATACGTCCACAAGCACTGCTTAGTTTTTTGTTAAGAGATAGTATGTGTGGTTTCCAACTGAATTTGTCATCAATAATTACTCCAAGGAATTTAGTTATCTCAACTGCTATCTCAAAATCAAGTTTCACAAAAAAATACCCATTGGCCCCCCCCCCCCCCCCCCCCCCCTTAAACTAACCAAAAATTGAGCTCTTTGTGTGCCGTTGCAATTATCAAAACTGAAAATATAAATTTCATAACTCTCATCTGGGTTTGATCTTTGTAATAGCTATCGTGCAAAACCAATTTCTCTGCAACTATTTGATGGTCTCTTCTTTGCATCCCATCTTTGTAAAGATACAACTAACAGGAACACTTGATCGAGTTTTCTGTTCAGTAACTCCTTCACAATTTTCCTTTCAGAGCATTTAAAGATAACTATATTATATACCAATGGATTTATACTTCAGTTAAATTTAAAACTTATATATCATGCTTCTTAATATCAAAGTAACTGTTTTATCATATCTTCCATAACTATATTGATACATGTTAACATTTGCCTAAATTTGCTTTAAATAATACATACTGTTGAAATTTCTCTTTGTTTAATTTTATGAATTCTGTCGTATCTGAACTGCATGTTATATCTTTGGATTTGTTTTAAACTGATAATTATTCTAGAAATCATATCAAGCTGTGCAATCCTAATAGTTGTTTTTCTTATCACTACGTTGTCATCATGCCAGACAACTCTATTTGCTCCCTAGGATAAAACAGTTTTTTTCCCAGAATGCAGAGTATAAGTCATGTTTTCACACGCGAAATCTATAATGTATACTATTGACCACACATTTAAATGTTGTTAGCCTGTGGTGTTCTTATTCTGATTGTCCACTAGCAGTTGGCTACAAAGAAACTACCTTTGAACAATGAAACAGATGTCTTATCAGTTCATCCTAAAATGAATTATCACTCAATATTTGTAAATTTATAAGCTCAATTTTTATTTGTGATACCTTAGCAAAAATGTCAAGTTACTACTACAACATTCCAGTGAATAGTAAATTAATTAAACAATCACTGTTCACGGAAACATTAATTAATTCCTACCAGCTCAAATAGGTATACTAGCTAATTAAAAATGTTGCAGAATATTTTATTAAGTTGGGTTTTTGCATATTTACTCATTAGTGATTAGGCCTCTTTCCGTCTTTGATTCGCTTTCATTATTGCACGTTATGTACAAGTTACTATACGAATAATCTCAACACGTGCACGTGTAAAGATTTGTGAGCGACATTTTGACTGATTTTGTCGTTATATTACGTTGTGTTCAGTGAGAGCTACATTTTAATGGGCTGTATCTTCGGTTGTGATGTGATAAAAACTGCAATTTTCGAAGAACACTTCGAGATGGCAGGGCCTACTCTCATGCTGTTTATTATAGGTGATGATTAATTCTGTAAAACTAGGGACAACTGGGGAATGATCCCAGACATATCGCGTGTCTTGCTCTACCTATTGAGCTACTGACCCTGATTCTCAGAGCGAAATAACCACTCATATATACAGCACAATTTCATGCTTTGTGCGGAATATCATTTATCTATTTGGATATATGCGAATATATTCTAATAACTTTCAAAGAACACTATTATCTTCCTCCCTGTGACCACAGGCTTTCTATTATATTATATATAAATATAGAATGACTGATGACACTCTTTGTAATATAAATATTTGTGATCTATCTAAATAGTAGACAAGTTAACATGTTGTAGGTAGCGCACAAATCGGATGACAATCATATCTTATAAGGTGAGATTGACGTGTAATCCGAGTATTTTATCTATAAATGAATAATTATATGTATAGATACATAATGTATGATTCTAGTACACCCTCTCTTGCTAGGACTTGTTACTCATGATTACTGAGCAGGCTGTTATTTTGGATAATCTAGGTTAGATGTAGGTAAACACTAATACATCAATCTTTTTATATTTTGTATACTAATTAGGATAGTGAAGAAAAGCTAGAATCAATATTAGCAACTAATTGTCCCCGTTTATAACATCTGTTAGAGAAGGAAACTAAGAAGGAAACTAAGAAGGAAACTAAGAAGGAAACTAAAGATCTGCTAGCAGAACATTTTCTGAGATAATATTAAGTTTCATAGTGTTGTACAATTACAAGGCACAAATATAAAGCTATAATCTTGTATTCTATAATCTTATAAGACTTCCCTGTGTTTGCTGTGATCATAGCTTGTTGAACCAGGGAACCTAATTCGGTTGTCCGGAGGCCCTCAACTTATTATATAAGTAACATAATATCAGTTATGTAAGCAAATACTTAGATGCTGTTCACATAGTACAGTGTTAGTATTATAATATTCAGTATTATCTATATAATACAATATTATAATATTCTGTATTATCTATATAATACAATATTATAATATTCAGTATTATCTATATAATACAATATTATAATATTCAGTATTATCTATATAATACAATATTATAATATTCAGTATTATCTATATAATACAATATTATAATATTCAGTATTATCTATATAATACAATATTATAATATTCAGTATTATCTATATAATACAATATTATAATATTCAGTATTATCTATATAATACAATATTATAATATTCAGTATTATCTATATAATACAATATTATAATATTCAGTAGTTGGAATGTGAGCCCCTGCTATTAGACTATAAGTACAAGTAATTATCATTACGCTGACAAATACCACTGTTCGTACCTGCCTATTGGAGGTTTAGAAGTGGCATCTTCACGGTCATCTCGCAATCTGCAGACCACCTCCTTGACTGCACCAGTCTATTAAAGTTAAAGTTTTCTGTATGCAATCCCTACTATTAGACTATTAGTAAACAGAAGGATTTGTGGTGATTTCATCCCGCTCAATTTTATTTAAGCTCTTTAGGTTTTATTTTTAGTTTCAAATAAGGAGCATCCTGATCACCAGAACCATCTATTAAAATATGAACTGTTAACTTTAGTGTTAACTTCTAAGATTTGTACTCCTCCTATACCACGTGTATCTTATATAATATCAGTGCTGTTTGTACATAATGTATTATATCATAAGGCATTATATTGTATATCATAAGAAAAGGCATT